AATGAATATTCAGTAGAGGTAAGCACAGCATCCGACCCATGGTTGGTCGATCAGCTACTTTCTACTACGTGAGTAACCGTTTCCACCACGGAGTTTTGATCCAGTTTTGATCTTTCAACTTAGCTTTTTCACGCGGACGCAGCATTTATCGGCACAACTCTGACAGGCTTCCGTGTATTACGACAACGTGTTTCATCCTCAACAAAGGCATTTGTTGGGTGTAATTGCATGGAGTATCAGACCGCAACTAGCCAGACCAGTAGAAAAATGGGTATTCTTGATAAATGAACTCTGCAGATTGATTTAGCTGATGGAGTTGGTTCTAGCTTTACAGTCGACGCTTTTTCAATGACAATTAGAAAAGCTGATTAGTCCAGCTTATCATAGTCCGACCACCACTGGGTTGTGCATTTGGCATGTCGCTCGAAGCATTTGGACAGCGTAAAGCAGACTAATACGTGGAACGATACAAAATCGGCGTAAAAACGACCATTTTGCACACAACCTTGCCATTCGTTGCTTATGGTAATGTAGTCAATCGCATCCGTTGCTGACTCAGAGAGGACGGACACTAAGTGGCGAGTCAACAGTTGAATCGTCTGAAGCTCATACTTGAGAGGAAACGGCGCTGGTAAGAACAAAGAGCCAAAAGCCGTTCCCCAAACAAATGCATAAGTTGTCAAAAGATTCCATTCCACTCACTTTGTTCCATTGACCACCGCCTCGGGGATGGCAAACATCTCAAAGAGACTTTCCATTGCTTGAATTACACGATGAATCCTTTGATAAAAGAAAAATTTTACAAACGTAAATTGTTATTTGAGATTTCGTTACATCTGGATACTTGGTTTCCGTTGGGTCGTATTCTTTGTTCATTTCATTCACTCTCAATAAAATTATTCTGATAGCAATGTGTGAGGAGGATAATCAGTTTAAAACCAACCTCAGTAAAGGTGTTACAGTCAAATACTCTCTAAATCAACTATATTCTTCTTGATCAATACGGTCAGTCAATAAAACAATTATAACAATTATAATAGTAGTGTTTTTACTCGCTTCCCATTTTAGAGTCCACAGATGCACCGTCAACTTCCAGGAAAGGCTACTTGGAGAAATGCAGAAATACGGAGGATGGTTGGTGGTGACTGCAGTCGAACTTATTATCGACAGATTGCTATTTCCATGACCTTAATCGCTTTTAGTTGCAAAACAATGATATTCTAATTACGCTTTCAACCAGTTAACTTCGCTATAATACTTGCATTTCAGTAGTCAATATCACATCCAAAATTAGTTACTAAACTTTAGACTACCTAAAAGCATAAAAATCTCGAATAAAGTGAGTAGCCTATTTATATAACTCAAACTTTCTAAATATTTCTTTTTCTCAACTTATCCATGAATGATGTCCTACTGTAGATGTTACCTAACAAAAAGAGCTCTGCTGTGTAGTTTTTTGACACAGAAAGTGAGAAATTTGAGTAAGCCGATGCTGTAACCTTGCTTTGCGTTTATTCTCAGGCTTTACGAAATGTGCCAAAGCCCTGCTGACGTGAGGATTTTTGGTTTGGTATATGCAATAAACCTCAAACGTGTAATGTTTTGGTGCAGAATTAGCAAGAATTATTACTAAGCAGGGAATTTCAACATTTGAAGTTGCATAACAGCCGGCCGAGGTGTGGATCAGGAGATCTGTAGACAAGTGATTGGAGAAAGATTTATTTTAGTTATTCTACGACCTCTCTGGAGCTAGCGTGTGTATATCGCAACGGTCTGTGCTGTTTTGCCCTATGGTTGCACATGTTGGCCTCTCTGAGTAGACTCTGATCGGGGACTGTCTGCTTTGACAACCATGTATCTCGTCAGCCTTGCATAGCATGATCAAATCGTCACTCATATAAGCATGAAGTTAGACTATGCTTGTTAAGAGTCGATCGTTTTCTGTTAAACAAGTTCAATCAATGTATTGTTTGCATTAGCTGGGTTATGTTCTAAAAATGCATTGATACCATCTCTCCCATCATGCTTTGTTTTCAGGGATGGAACAAGACTGGAAAACATTGAGTTGAGCAAGCTACGAATAGGCTGTAAAACGTTCAAAAATCTGTGTTCATGGCATGGTTTTTCTTGAGGTATCTTAGATTGACAAACTATAAAGTCCAGTAAGTGTACTCTGGCGTTCACCAACCGAATGTATCTTGGCTCCGCTGCATCATTCATCTGACTCAGTACAGAAAGGTATTCAATGTCACAATTCGAAATGCGATGCGATACCTGAACCCGACGCGTTGTTGATAATCCGCAGCCTAGGATATTCCACAAACGCTGTCCTGGATGGACAGCTGTCACGAACNAACCTCATTGGAGCAATATCACGATAAGTGATCGGTTATTTGTTTTATGAGTAGTCATCAATGAAGTGAGGTGATTACTCTGGATTCTTTCCAACGTTTGATAACTCGCATACCTATCCTGCCTCTAAGCAAAATGGTGCAACCAGTTCCGAATCACCAACTGAAGACAGACGCAAGTTACTTTACAGGCGATCTAAGCGACCTTTAACTTATTTTTGCACGGTTCTGTGTCTTCCAAATGTAAAATTAGAATTATCTCAAGTAGCATGTACCATATGCTTAATTTGGCGCAGGCTTCACGAATGTAAAGAACAGCATCTGCTCATGAACGATGATCGGAGGAACAATCGGCGACCTAGTTGCGACCTAGTTCTGGCTCCGGTTTCCAAGAACGAGAGAGTTGAACTCTTAACAGTCCTTCACAACAGCAGAGCCACGTCAGACGTGGCTATGAAGTAAGACATTGTCTAAACAGTCCCACAAAGCACATTTCAAGTAGAACAGAGAGTGGCGAGCAACAGCGTTTTCAATTATTCGTAGTCATGCCAAATATATCACAAAAAATATCACGCTGTTTATATCTGTATCAGTATTCAACTATAACAGGACATTGTCCTATTAATCTGCAGCTGAACAAGAGAACATGGTCGAGTCACTGTAACCGTCTTCGCTGCATTTCATGAAGAGTTTTGATAACAGTAAAGATGCTCAAGTCATCAGTATCATCTGATTGATGCTTGGAGTGATATCTTTAGAGATGGAACAAGCTGATTCAACCTGCAGTGCTATAAAGTGTTCCGTCTCGTTAGGATCCAGTCGGTACTCACCAAACCTCAAACTAGTTCGGATTCTTATTAAGCGGTTTCCTGGACGTGGTCACAGTCGTCTGAGGGTAACTATGTGGTGTCAAATAGCGAGAGATCTGGACAATTGGTGTAGAGTTAAAACAGATTTGTTGCACTTCGAACACAGTATAACCTGTTGACAGAGCTCCTCCTTCTCCCCAATATCCAAATTTATCACTGGGGTTTGATACATTAGAAGGAGCGACCGAATTTTGAAATCTATATAAACTTGACTGATTGTATGTGTTGGCTTTTTCACGAAACGGAGATGCAATATATTTGTGGGTATTTCTTTTTGGCTTTAAACTCAGTAATTTTAATTTTAATCAAAATACTCATGTTGATTACTTTTCTTGAATTTCCGAATCAATCGGTTAGCATATTTGATTACTCCAGACTGTTGTGATAAAATTGCTTCAATTCTAATTTGGCTAGCATAGATAGCCGCGATTTATCTTCAGTTGGGTCCGTTTGTGGTTAGAGATCTGTTGGCCGATTAGTTGTTTTCAGTACTCCTATGTTCACTCAAACACCTCATCAATCCCAGTAACTGGAATAAGTGAATGGGCAGTAGTATTCTATCCTACAACAAGGCAAAACACTGGTTTATTGGGTGGGTACATTTTGAAGGAGAAAACTTATTTAGTGCTTTTCCTTCTGTGGTGGCGGTTTATTTTGCCTTCTTCAACGATACAACCCCAACAGATGATTTTATCACGCGCTACCTTTCATTTCATCATGCTTAGTGCAAACCTGTTTTATTTTAATTCTATCGTTGGCTGCTTTGAGTTGAAACACATGTTCACCTGGCATCTCTGAAGATACGCCAACATTCACTCCATGTTCACTACCTAGTGTAGGTTAGTCTCCGTTTGTGGCCAGAGGTGCTTCGGTGTAGCCAACCCATTATATGGTCCAAATGGCAGTTGAACAAACTCATTGTGCTGTTCTTTGACACATAAGTCTGTGTTTCTCTCCGTATTTATTGTCGGTATCGGTAGGCAGTCGATAATTACTCAACCGCAACTTAATGGACAACAACACCTATGAAGAAAAAAGTCGTTTAAATCTATTCGTTATTGGAAAGCCGCATTTTATCATAACGCCCTTCAATTCACGAGAGCCCACACAGAGTCTGCAGGTAAAGCTAGATTTCGGAATCAGAAACAGCTTTGTGCATGATGCGCTTTGACACTATGTCGCATGCTTTGTTCGCAAAATGCATCATTATCGTATATGTTATTCTTTGGTATGTTGGTTTACACTCTTATCTCGATATGAATCCAGCTTGCAAAAATCCCCGTGTGAACGACCAGCTACCTAAACTGATGTGCACAATGTGCCAGTTAACCAACAAATTACTAATTGAGTTTGAACTGGAGGTGCAGAAATGGTGGTGCTATTTTTATGCCTCACGTCTGTAATTTATGTACATGTGTTTCGATGTTCGATTATATTTCTGAAAATGGCAGATGTGCTCTATAATGAACTTGCTCATTTTGGAGTAAATAATGTTGTGCACCAAACGATCCTCTTTATTCAACTGTAATCTGGAAAATTTAGTGTCCTCACACTGGTTTCTTATATAAAGATTATTTTCGATTGATTCTGGAAACTCTCTGTACCCGTCCCAAGATCTGACTAAGGCACAAAACGGCCACTTTGTATCTTTTTGATAGACTACTTTAATTTCATCAGTAATACATCACTAACGGGATAAAATATCCACTTCGACTTCCTGTGACAAATTTCCAACTTCTTTAGATTTGGTGGTGAAATCTAGACACTCGTTCGCACTTACTTCTTCCAGTGAGCTCGATACTGTTGCTGGAAACTGGCAAACTCTGCGGTGTCCTTTTGTATTATTCCACCTTTCATTGTGATCCAGTGACCTATGGTTGATGGTGTATTTGTTGTTGGTGTCGTATGAGGTTGCTGAATTGAGTAAAAAAAATAAACAGAATATTTGCTTTGAAGAAAGGAGCAGTCGTATATTAACTACTTGAGGTAAGTTTTTTTCCGCTCTTTGGTCTTTCAACTAGTGAGTACCTTGAATCCCCTCAATGAAGTTGACCACCAACTTCCACGGGAAATAAGCTATATTCGCACTGGCTAATAGCACCAGAACATTGAGAATACTTGTAGTCTGGAACAAAACCTTTCCTCAAGCTTGGCAAAAGCTACCCCAAAGTGGCATGGCAATATCTTCCTGGTAATTAGTTTTACTTCATCCAATGATATTTCGAGACCACAATAAATGATCTTCTTTCTTCTCTCCTTCCCTATGTAAATGAGTTAAAAAAATGGTAGGCTGGGTTTGTTTCCTCCCTAAAACAGTGCCCAAAGTGAACCTCGGTGGAAAAGTAAAGATGAACAGATTTTGTACAGTTAAAAATCCAGGCCAAAGACCAGTGATGGCATCTCATTGTTCAATTCCTACTCTGTTCCTGAATTTATTTTCAACTGTGTGTACGCAATAAACTAAAGCAGAAGGGTGAGAAAACCGGAAAACAAGTATGTGTATGGAAATGTGCTGACTACACACTTGTTATTTATAAATGCAATTAACTTTAAATTTTGAGGTTGCAGAAAGCGTCTGAGTAAACATTCATTAGCAAATTGTTTAGCATCAGAATTCCGCAAGTCGCAAGCTAAAGCTTCAATAAAAACTCACTCGCAAGTTAAATTTTTCATTATCAGCCGATTCGGTGAGAAATGCTGACTGGAAAACAAATGTGGTAAACCAAACAGAAAATCGGATTATTTTAGTAGCAACATAAATCACGTAACTGCAGATAAAATAAGTCTAATCAGATTCTGATGGCATAGTGCAATTTATCTCACCTAGCAAGCTGCAGATAAGAGAAACTCCCAGAACTTGACGATTTCTGCCCGGCAGTTGGTGCCCAGAAAGGATTCAGTGCCCCCTTTTATCCGATTTTTCATCATCTAATCATGTGTTTTGTGCGCAAATCGAAAAACAAACCCAGGAAAGCTGAGATGATTGAAGGCAAGAATCACATCAGTCCGAAAGAACGTGGAGTGATTCGGAGAAATCAGAGTAAAACTGAAGAAATCTAAAGTTAACCAATGAAGCCAATTGGGATCAGCACCTGTTTCTATGTGTGAAAACTTTTGATTTGCCTCAATCGTTTGCAAAGTGATAGTTTAAAGTGCTAAGATTTTCTTATTCCACCACCTTGCTTATTCTATACGCCAGGTGTTGAGCCACTAGCACCTAAACATGAAAACAATTTGATTCGTAGTCCTCCCTGTTGCGGGATAGCACTGTTTCAACTTCCTTCAAACAGAAACTTACGGTTTTCTTCACCACTTTCATAGGTTCCTCTTTCGTGAAGCAATCGTTTGTGGAATCTTCACGGTGATTAATGGCCAGCTTCAATAGAACAAACATTGAAACAGCAATCAGTGAAGAAATGCGAAGTTCCTCGAGTCACTCATGTATTTAATCCATAGCGTAGTAAATATCGAGCAACTTTATCCCATCAAAAGTCATTTTTCTACATGTTTGTTCTACTTAATGGCTGGAACGTAATAAGGAAGCATTTCCCGGACGCAACTCATACCTATCTAACTTGAGTTGAAAAGCTACAGCCTTCGGGGTTAATTTTAGTTATATTTTCATCTTGTACCGGCGTATAAACCAAACTCTCAATGAAGCACCATTGTTATGAATTACTACTCACATTTGTAAGTAGTAGATAAAATCGTTGGTGATTTATTCTGACGATTAAAAATTAACAAAATCACTGAGGGCAAATTGCTGGATGCCGAAGAATAACTATTGATTGCTACATTCATTACCCGTTGTACGGCCAGGAACTTTAATGTTAGATTCCTGATGAAATTTCCTTTTTATGTATGACAAATTAGTGATATTCCCTCTGTAATCCTCAATAAACAACTATCATTTATTGAGTACCGCCTTGTGAAATTATAACACGATGATTATAAGTATTTTAGGGTACAACAGCTAATATACAATAAATAAACTCCAAAGTTCTGTGCTAGATTGTTAAACCATAGTGTTCACATGAAAACCTTTGGGTGAATGTGTTTGATATATTCTTTGATTTCACGTTCGGTGACAGGAAATAGAAATTTCATGCAATCTGCAACAATTTTACCCCGACTTCGACGAATTCTTGGGTTAAAACTGTCTTTACTTGACTAACCTAGTTTTACTTTTAGTTTTAAAAGCCATTAGGCACGCATTTTCATGGTTTTGGTCACTCTCTTTTAGCTGCCCGTTTAAATAAAATAGCAGAATGACGATTGAAATTTCGACAGCAGATTCAGAGAGAGGATAGAAGATTCATACAGACTGAGGTAGCGAGAATATTGAGTAGATACACAAGCGACAGTGTTGGCGACACTCAGTCATATCACTCGGTTTCATCAGCCACCGGTTACGATGATCTCTGGGTCCCTATCCAGGGATCCTAACGGGACCTATTCGATCGAATCTTTTTGCCAGGTTTTTCATACCTTCATGCCAGGTTTTAGTTCAATCATCTTCTTTCCAGCTTTTTTCCACCAACTACCTTCCCCAGCAAACATCACACAACACAGGTCTCAACTAACCCATATAAAACCATCCAGCCACCTCTTCATCACAGGCTAACGCAGACTTGTTTTATCCACGGTGACCTGAATGAAAGATCGGATTCCATTATTTATTGTTCCTCGGAAATTTCCTCTTGTGCACCATTCCACTATCAATTTAACCTCACTAGATTGTTTTTCATTATACGCGAGGCATACATGATTTGTATTGAACATTATATTGCCGAGATATTAGGTCTTACCCGTGGCTCACCGATATCGATTTTGGGGACATCCTTTTTGCCCTTGTGAGGAGCCTTGTTGCGTTGAGGTCTAAATTGCCAATTTTCAGGTTTCTGGCCTTGTAGGGGGTCGGAGTTTTTGTATGGCTTGTATACAGGGTACAGTTCTGTTGTGAATGTGGAGGTAGTAAAGAATGTTTACAAAATAAGTTGTACTTGGTAGGCATGGCAGTTAAATGTACTAATTTCAATAAAAGACAGAAAATTAAACGATCAGTTTCTCGGAGGCCATACTTGGGCCAAATCGATCACACAAAACTCAAGAAAAGAGCACCTGTGTTCCGATTTTGAGTCTTCTTGATATGACTGAGGTTCAAGAGTGCCTCGGTTTGGGAACAGGTTTTCATCGCAGGCTAGTGTTTATATGCTACAAATGAATGAACTTAGATGAGTTTGAATTTGCACTTTAACAGACAGTCACTTGTGAACTTTGGTATGGAGTCAGCAGATAGTCAACGTTGTCTACTTTCATTACTGTTGGGATCTAATGAATTATCATTAAACTGTATATCTGACCAAACTTGAAAGAGCAATTTTGGTCAACCAGAGTTAGATTTGGTTGGTGTAGTGATAACTTGCACTTGATCCCTGCCAGGAAACTTTAAGTCAAATACCAAACGAGACGGAAGACTGGCACTATTGAACCTTGCAACTCCCGGGACACTGCGACCATCGAAGAAGCAATCAGGAAAACATCAGCCGCTCGGATCAATATACAACAAGATAAAAATATTGCATCTCCCCCCTCGCCTTAGATTTTTCGATTATCTCACCGTCCACATGCATGGTCATCACCATCTTTGAGAATCTAGACGGCAACTGAATGAAAAGTTGAAATACGATATTTAATCAAACGTCACAAAAAACAAATTTTCACCGTGACAAAATTGTTACACACCATATGGGCAACACACACCCAACTCGGTTTTCAAAACGGGTGCGATAGATGTCCCGAGTTTGTATTTCGGCATGCCAAATGGCCATCACGGGAACAAGATAAAAATAGATTATCGGTGTTCGAACATTCCTGTCTACGCAGCATTGCACGAATCTGGTGGGGCAGCCGGACGAATAAGGCTGAGGTCAGGTGCAGAGTTTTAGGTAATCGAGGTCGTCCACTTTAGCATAGATTACGCTGGTTGGGATAAGTGCTAAGCATATTGCCAGATGGGTTGCCACCTCAGGTAGCGGGTGGAAGAAAGCCAAGGGTAGTCAAACTAAAACCGGGCATGAGGGTATGAAAACCCTAACCAGGAGTCTGGGTCACATAGGTCCCGTTAGGCTCCCTGGCTAGGGACCTCGGGATGATCGTACCCGATGGTTAGATACACTGAGTGATATGCCTGAGTTTAATAAACAGTGGTACCCGTGCATCTTATCCATCTCTCTACAACATTAGTCCACTGAAATTCTAAATTTTCTCTTTGATTCTACTCTCAATCCTTCCTGTCTTTCTCCTAATGTCCATCCAAATGGGCAGTCAAAAGACAGCGACTAAAACCGGTGCACGATAGCGTATGGTTAATGGTTATACAAACTGAAACTAAAACTGAACCGATACAGAGCACTGGACAGCTGTTTCGTCCTGTGCCTGGTGCCCGTGAAAAGTTGAATGGGCTAATCCAAACGTTAGCCATCTAAATTGATTGAGCCATTCGAACAAGGTGATAACCTCACGGCTCAGGGATAAGGGTTTAAGGTCCCAACCCGAAGGTTCGCGGTTCGAATCCTAACAAAAATACGCACTGCTAAAGAGTCCCAAACAGGACGAAACAGCAGTCCAGTGCTCTTTTTTGGTTATCACAAACATTTCCAACGCATTTAGAAACTCATGCAATTTGGAAAAATTAATGAACTTTCATCTACTTGAGCGACGAAACAAATTTAATTTATAGGGACTTTCCGATTGGGGCTACTACTGTGGAAACAGCGGTATTTCAGTAAGCTAGGTTTAGGATCAAAAATCCTTGATGGTACGTGATGTCTTATCAGGTAACGCCTCCGCTGAACTCGCTATACTTTGTGGGTTGACATATTCTGGTACATCTATTCGTATATTGGATCCTCACCTCCTGCTGTCAATAACATTGAATGATCAACCTGAAGCCAGTTTCTAGCAAGAAATCACCTTAGTTCAGTACTCATGTCTAACAAAATGCTGGTTATTATCCCTCAGTATCAAAACAATGGTGTGGCATGCGTGCGGCCCAGATTCGAGCTCTATAGAATTTTTTTGGATTTTTCCTACCCAACAACTAGCACTCCAGAGTTGATACCAAAAGACATAAATTAGAGACCATGTTGACTGGGGAATGGAATGATATAGACACAAACGTGATTTGCAATCTTTTACAGTATATAGTGGTATCAACGGGTAGAGCTCCTAACCAGGGGACAAGGTCACATAGATTGCGTTAGGCACCCTAGCTGGGGACCCCGGGATTAGACACTGAGTGATATGGCTGTGTCATAAACAGTGGTGTCTTCTCAATTTCCTTGTGACCTAAGTCCACTGAAATTCTCCATTTTCTCTTCGATTCTACTTTCACCTTTCCTGACTTTCTCCTACTGCTTCATGCAACTGAGCAGCCAAAAAGGGTAATAAGTACCTGCGCACGAAAGTGCACGGTTAACAGTTGTACAAACGGAAAACTGAAAATTAGCCAATAAGTGATGCAAAACTATTTTGTTTTTCTCGACATTTTCGTTGAAGTTAAAGATAATTTGACTAAATGTGATATTTCGGCTTTTCATTATGTGGCCACGTATTTTCTCAAAAATGGTCATGATCGTGCACGTAGGAGATGAGAGAAGCGAAAACTCTAGGAGGTGCAATACTTTTGCCGTGGAGAGTATATGACCGTCAAAGGAGAGTCACAATGCCGAGTTAGAGTGCCATTTTATAGTTGAATGAGCTCCTGGTGAAAGCATCTATAAACCATCCCTGATTAAGCGGTTGACAGAGTCTCCAAGATTTCCAAATAGATGAAAGCCCTACATAGGCTGGATTATTCATCGGTGTGGGCACATGAGAAGCCCAATAAACATTAGATCAACAAGTGGGAACTGCGAAACAACGATCTGTTTGGTTTCGTACTGTTCAGACCAGACCATGAACAATTCAGACAACCAAGTTTAGTTGATGGTCCAACAATCCGGAGAGAGGCCGAGTCGAGCATAGTATGGATGTCTTAAGTGGAACTCGCAAACAAACATTAAGTATTTTTCACTGACTGTACGTCGAATAGGCTCTGTAATGCCAAAATTCTTGATACACTTAGACTCGTTATCCTCAGATATACAACCGATTTCCTGCTTTGTCGCAACATTTGAGAATTTGCGAATGTCAGTAAATTACAGAAACTGCTGCATAGCAATTTACTCATGTTTTCAACTTCAAAGGTAACCACTGCAACCTTAAGTGAATCCGCCATACTTTCAAGTGAACCAATTTTAACTTCAAGTAAATCCGTGTCAGATATCTTCACTCTTGTATTCGTTGGAGAACGTGGCTGATCAATATTAGGATGGGTCGAATGCTTTACCTACCCAAAATTAATAACCATAAAGCACCCAGTAAGAAGCTACTCTCATTTGTAGAATCATGGATAACTATAATTTATTCCTAATACCACATAGCTCAGTCACTGAACTATAAGGAGAGCACATATGTAATCAGGCTGTAAAGAGGTGTGACGAGGACGAGAAATGATGCAACAATGATGAGGTCCTATGTGACAAAGCTGAGTAAGAAAGTGAGAAGCTGTAGATAACAAGTTGTTGCTATTGGCATTGTGGATAGAAAACAGTGGTCTATCAGGATAGCACAGAAAAAATGTGATTTCTACTAGCTAGTAAACGAGTTCAAGTTCAACCTTGCCATTCAGGGGCAATATTATAGTATCGTTAGGTATCTTTTCAAGTGTGTCAGAGATACGTAGACGATTGAATTCGGTTCAAAGGAAGTGGTGTTATTCGAATGAACGTCGACCTCACTCAAATTTACTCACTAGGCTATTCAGGGCCTAGGCGGAATCCACTCATGCAATGATTCATTCCAAAATTTATGCTCAAGCAGGGTAACCGATTTATCGATCCATTTTGACGTGATTCGCTTCCTTGCCCCGCCGACCTAGGTAAATTAACGCCGGGTTGGTTCATTCTCGAATAAAGCTCTTTCGATCAACGTTCCAAGACATAACGTTCCCAGGTGGTAGTGGTCATGAGGGACAAACAGTCAAACCCCAACCCATCGAAATTTTAATCCTTGTTCGGTAACTTACTCAAAAATTAACTTTGTTTGCTTACGGAAAAATTATTACATCCTCACTGGATGGGGTTTAGAATGATCCATTTTAATTGATGACGTTTGACTGTGGGTTTCCCAGTGGCATGCCACTGGTTGTTTCAGTTTCCATTGTTTATATATTCAAAATGTATTTCTATTCTCGTTGGGATTATTGTTTTTAACCTAGTTACTGAATTTCAGACGCTTGATCATGTTTAATGTTTTTAAAGACTGAAACTGAAATGAATCTCATTCTTAAATATTGCCCCATTCAATTGTAATATCAGGGTGACCACAGAATTGAGTACATGGTGGCCACCATGCTCTACATGGGTTCCTGCTATAGCATCACAAAATTAGATCACAGTTCATGGTTCAGATTAGATCGTACATATCTGATTTAATGCTCAATTCGTGGGCAAAAAAAAATTCAGGAGAAACCATTTCATCGACAATAAGTTTCATATCTATTTCTGGATACACATAGTACATTGATTTCTTTTCCATAGGATATGCCCCCATTGTTTCTGTAAAATCCCTTCATGCTTTTCCGACGAAAAATGGGTACCACAGTGTCCGTAGCCATCCAGTTGTTCTTTCTTGTTGTTTACATTTTATACTGAAAGTGATCGATGTTTTCGATACAACTAGTGTTGGTGAACATCAGAGGCGCTGTTATTAGTGACTGATTAAGCTCAACAAGTGACTCACGAAGCACAGCTGCATAGCTCACACACCGTAGGGGGCTCTTTAGACCTATGTTCTAATTGTTACGATGATCTTTGACCAGAGTACTGTTCAATGCCATCACAAACAACTGCGCTTGCCGTTCACTCATTTACACAAGTGTGTCAGTGTCATAGTGTTATCAATAGATTCGAGGTCCAACATCTGGCTATACAGTCCCACTTGCCGGTTGAATGAACTGTGGTTATTCTTCACCCGTTTACACGGATACGCTAGTGCAACAGATTCGATGAACTGAATTTTGTTACCCTCAGAAAGAGTAATCTTACGATCACAAAATGACCGTAGAAACTAGGTTGCCATCAGAATAGTTTGTCTAAGAATTTCATATAACATTCCTAAATAGTGGAGTTCTTCATCATCGGATTCCAAACAGGAGACTTCCTGTTCCATAGGACGCTCAGCTATAGACAATGTATGAAATCTTCGATCAGATAGTAGTTATCTCCTGGTTGTTGTATTATCGGCTGGTTGAATGTGGAGCTGAATCCAGCTTTATGAAAGCATTGGTCAGTACGTGCGGACAAGCAGACATCCAAGCTTTTCATACCTGTAGCGTGACCATGAGAATGTCCATTTCGGGTTTTATGCTAAATTGTTCTGGAAGAGGGGCTCATACTCTATTAATAGTTTCTAGCTCAACGTGGCTCCATGCATCCCTAGTGAGTACAGACTCATTGCTTTGACCGTTGAGTCGTGAAAGCGACTCTGTCCAACCAACTCTAGACACGCCGGGAAATGAGCTCCCGATTACCCTCAAT